CATGTTTGGTAAGATGGAGGGTCAGAGAAAAAGAGGAAGACCCCCAATGAGATGGATTGGCCAAGTGGCAGCATCGATGGACTCAAGTGTGGCAACAGTAATGAGGTTGGCGCAGGATGGGGCAGTGTTTCGTTTTGCTGTGCATAAGGTCGCTACTGGTCAGTACCGACTCGATGGCACCTAACAACAACATAATGTTTACTGGAGCAGATCATCAGGTCTTTCTCCCACGAAACTGCTGGGTGGTTTCGAACCACCAGCGTTTGACAGGCAAACTCTTTTAACAGGTGTACCAACAAGGCTCCTCAACAATCAACTAGAAATGTATTAAAGTGCAGTTCTAATTCAGTAAGCCTGGGGTAGGTCCTGAGATACTTTATTCTGAGATTGTTGACAGTGTTACATTCCAGGGAATGTACTTTATACTTGGAGTAGCAAGGGTCTAGAAGTTGTATTTATATTTTATATAAAAATAGTAGGAAGATTAACTAGGAAAAGTAATCTCACTATGACGTTTTGACTTTTGGCTCTTGGTGTCCTTCATAAGATATGCATGTTCTTTGATATAAATCTTGAGCTCTGTTGTTTTCGTTTTCTAACTGCAGTAGGTTGGCCATTTTTTGGTGTGGCATTAAAACAGAAAAGGATTTAGTAAGAAAACGTTATGTTACTCATTTTACATTTTACCTAATCTCTTTCAATATGACCTTCCAAATGTATGTGGTAATAAGAAAACTGTCCTGTATTCAGGTTGTACTTGTTTCTTATTATTAGAGCACTGAATGAGAAATTTCCACTTATAAATTTTCAGCAAACTTTCACTAGCATAGCTCAGTGTCTAATGAGTAGTAGTAGGATTAATTCATAATCTGATTAAATTTTCTTCATCCTGGATTTTGTTTTGTTTTCCTTTTCTAGGGGCAGCTTCATGACTTCTGGGTACCAGATTCGTAACAGGAGCTATAGCAGCATAAATGGGAACCAAAAGAAATTCAACAAGAGTTTTTCCTAGAGGGCTAGAAAAGATTACTACAGAATCCATTGGAATGCTAAGAAAATATACTGCAAGTGTGCCACTTGACTAGTATGAAGCTGGTAATGATGAAATTGCCATTTATGATGTGGACATCAAACATGATCTGCTTAATTGTTAAGGCAAGGGTCCTTTCAAAGGATTTGTCCTGTGAAGGGAGAGGTAGAGTAGCACTGATCTAGCCTGCCCCGTTTTACTCCTCATGTTAAATTGTAAGCAATTATCTTTTCTTTAATAGTTTTATGATACTTAGATAATCAAAGAAGATATAAGAAAAGGGTTTGGACCAACCTGAGGAGTAGAGCATAGAAATTGACACCAAGTTCCAGTTGAGTTTAATTTTCATTCTGATTTTATTTTAGAGCAAAGAAGAAACTTAAAACTGAATTTAGTAACAAAAGGCATAAATCTATATCTCTTATAAACCACAGGGAGACCTTAATCCATGCATTTTTCTTCACAGTTAAGATTATAAATCTGTTAGGTTTTTAAAATGCATTTAAACAAACAATAGAGAAACAGAAGTTTGACATATTGTCAGCTCCCTTTAAAAGGGAGCGAAATTAAGCTATCAAGTAATGGCTCTGTTTTAATGCCAAAACATTCTCATGGCAGTTTTTATTTCTTTTAGATGCTTTTTTTTTTTTTTTTTTTTCCCCATATTGATTAAATCTTAGTTAGACTCCTGGATAAATCTTAGCAGTTTGACTCTTGGTAGCCATATTACAGAAATCTATATTGTTAAAGCTGAATGATATAGACAAGTTTCCCAAAATCTTGTTTTCCTGAGTACATGACCTGGCAGAGACCTGGGTGGTGTTTATTATTTGTGTGTGTGTGTGTGTGCGTGTGCGTGTGCGTGTGTGTGCGCGCGCGCGTGCGCCAGAGAAAGCATGCACACGTACTCGTGTGCTTGTATTTTGAAGTTGTTGCACTTGAAAACCACAGCTGCTCTAAATTCGGAAACACTGGAAAGCCATCCTCTGGTTAAATGGTGGAGGGTTAGTAGAAATGCACATGCTGGTCTTCATCCCTCCAAGGGCCCTTTCAGGTCTTGGTAGTGACAGAGTCTTACTAGCTAACTGATAGATTTTTTTTTAATGACTGAGTGTCCCTTTGGGGGGGAGGGTTAGTTTCTTGAAAAAGGAGGTCCGTTTCTTTTGTTGAATGGCACTGCTCTCCTATGCACTCATGTCTCCAATTGTGGGGAAGTAGCTGGTGACGAGGAAGGGATCTGGACTTGATTTGAGGGGGAAGAACTTAGATTTTGAAAAATAACTCTACCTCTAAGTTTGAGGCTTAGAAGTAAACAGTATTTTACCTTAAACTACCATTTAAAATCGCATCCGTGATTTTTTAGCCCACGTCAAGCAGTGGGCAGATAGAGATTTTATAGAGAAGACTTAGAATAAATCCAGTTCCTAAGAACTTTGGCGCAATGAGGCTCCAAGCGTCAAACCCACAAAAGTTTTTTTCTTCTGTGTTAAGTTTACTGGTAAGAATATTATCTTGATGCTACCTCTCAAGGGTATTGTTACAAAATGCCACTTATGGTTAAAAAGATAGATACAAAAAGTTATGTTTTTAACAGAAGCTTAAAACTCTGGTATCTATCTGCCCAACAATGGGGCTTTCACTCTGTAATTTAATACTTTGTAGATACATTATTTGTGTGTAATTTTATAAGTGTTCATATTTTTCTCATTTTGCATTGTGTAAAGTGTACAAAATCTCAAAGTATAAAATACTGCTTATATAGCTTGTAATTACAGCGTGTAAATATTTTCTAATTGTGTACATTGATGGGATAAGTGGGCTATTCGGGTTTCTTTTTGTTGGTTTTTTTGTTTTGTTTTTTTAAGTGACCCTTTTGTATTGCAGTTTTAACAGATAACTTGCCCATCAAATTTAAAACCACTTTGATACATTTTTATTTAATAGTTCCAATAAAAATAATCTATTTTTAATTGACTTTCTCCATCAGAGAAAAAATACTTAATCCGTTCCTTTAAAGTAATAACCAAAGGTCCATTTGGGCCCTTGTATTTATGACTCTGGTAGATGTCTTTAGTCTCCAGGTCACAGTCCAGTCAGTGTTTGCATTTGGGTTTTCATGCCATTTTGTTAACTCTCCTTAATACAAGGAGCCCATGGATTTTCTCCCAAATCAAGTCTTTTTCTTCTCTCTCTTGAGTCCCCATGCTTTGTCTATCTCCTGCTCCTGTTCCCCCATGAATGGCATAGTAGTGAGGGAGAAAATCTTTATTGCACAGAAAATGTCAGGCCACTTTGGGGACTTGGCAAACAGCTTGCACTGAGCGGTGGTGTGTTTGGCAATATTACTGTGCCAAAAATCACCTCATCTAATTTTCTGGATAAGTCGTCAAACGTATTTTTACACTTAATGCAAGCCAAAAATTAAGGTACTTGTGCTTATGCTTTTGTGTGTAACTGTTAGCCTTTTCTAAACTGCTTTTCTTGTTATCCAGAAATATAATTATATTGGTTTTATCATGTTATGTGAAGCAGCTTTCTGTGGACAAAATGCATCTTTGTAGCAGTAACAACAGTTGTACATTTTCTGTCTCCTGATGGCAGTGGTGCCTTTGTCACTTTTCAGAAGGTTGGCATTTTGTCTTTGTTTTAAAGTGCAAGTAACTTGCTTTTGACTTCACACAATCTCCCCAGATATAAAAGTGTATGTATGGTATGTTGTCATCCAGGATCTGTTGGAGCATTTGCATTTGTATTTCTATCAAAACAAGTATAGATGGTGGGGGCTGGCCAGTAATAAAGTGTGAAGTTTCTAAGCCAACAGTAATTTTTACATTTAAAAAAAAAAAAAAAAAATGAAGAGGTAACCCATTAACAAGTGACTGAGTTGAAGAATTAGGGAAGGATTGTCCTGGTTTACCTGTAAGGAGGCAAGAGTTGAGTGCAGGTGGCTGGGTCAGTGAGCAGCTTGCATGCTCTGTGCTTTTAGTACTTACTCGTTACCAGTGTGGGTGCACCTCATCGTCTGTGCATTGTTTCCCTGGGCAGCCTGAGACAGGCAGCTTCCAGGAAAGTGCACATTACCTTTGTCTTCTTGGATTTTTTTTTTTTTTCTTGACACTACATCTGTTTAAAGTCCTGTGAATGTATGTGTGTTAATAAAATTGCTTTTTCTCAGTTTGAATATGTGTTTGGGTACTATTTGTTTGGGAGTGGGATACCCTGTTTCTTTCCTGTTCTCCATCCCCTAATTTTAGAAATTAATTCCTTCCTTCCTTCCTCTTGCTTTGGATTCTCCAGTCAGTTGTATAACCTGATGTCGGAAGAAATAAAGCCCAAATTCTACCAGTTCACTTTTATATAACCCAGTTAATGATTTGCTGTATACTTTATAGTTAGCAATTCAGTCATCTCATTCTTATATGACCTCATTTGCTTTGTTCATTCAACATAAACAACTCATGAGTCTTACCTTCAGGGCTTGAGGTTAAAATCTTCTCTGTTATTGGGCAAAGAGGACTTGACCTGGCTCCCATGTCCCAGATCCTAGAATCACCTCCAACTTGTCAGGCAGTACAGACTTAGGTTTGTCAACTGACACCTCCTCACTGGAGAGACTGTTCTTGGGAGCTCATAGACGAGGCATCAGGTTCAAGAGCCTTACCAGAATATCTCCTTTTTGACAGGCTGGTTAGGAGGAGACCACCTGTAAGCATTTTTCTCTGACAGTGGTGGTTGAAGGAGGTGGGTGCCAGCCCAAGCAGAAGCAGAGAGATCGGCATAAGTATTTACAGGGAGGGCAGATAGCTCAGCCTTGAACAGGTTAAGGGTCTTGGCTTGACAGTTTTTCTGACCTCAGATTCCAGGTTCATCACACCAGCTGTTTGGTCTTGGGCAAGTTATTTAATCTCTTGGAGCTTTAGATTTTTCATCTGTTAAAAGGAATAATAATGGTGTCTTCCTCAGGGTCTGTGAGGACTGAATGAGATCATGCATGAAAAGTGCTTAACACCATGTCTGGCATAAAGCAAGAAATCAGTAAAAGATAGCTCTTCATTTGCATTAACTTTGAGGCTCTTCTCAGATGACAATTAAAATTGGGTTGGAACAAGCACTTCGGAGTTTACTGATATCTGAGCAAGCCATTTCTCAAAGAGTAGTAGACACATACTCCAGCTCTGGCACCGGGAGCTCCAGGGGCTTCTGTCCAGTTTTGTCAGTGCTGGTATAAAATTAAGTTTGTAACTTTAAAAAGTCAGCATGTTAATGTGAGAAAGGGATGGTGGGTAGTGTTTTTCCAGCATCTGTGGTCATGTCCTGATACTCCCTTTTCCTTGTAACCATTTCCCAGGCTGAGTCAGGAGGGCAAGCTAAGAAGCTCAGTTTTGGATCTGACTCCCAAGACCACTGGCTGGGAGGAAAACTTAAAAGGCAGAACAGGCTTCTGAGGCACAGTAACAGTCCTGAAGAAGCATCACAGCGGTCTATGTGGCCAAAATAAAGATCACACTGCTTAAAGGAAAAGGGCTGGACAAACCAGAGGTGGTGGAGCAGGAACCAAAATGCTGTCACTGAACAGGAAGCAGGATGAGAACTTTTGACTAGGCCAGAGTTCTCTTGCCTCCAAGGAGTTGATACTAACCCCCTCCACCTACCACCTAGGAGCCCTGCTACAGTGAGTTAACTGCTCTGTGCAGAGCCTAGAGCCCAGCTGCTATAGAGCTCTGAGAATCAGTGCTGAGGCAGCCAGTTCAACCTGCTGCCTCTCAGTAGAGTTGTCTAGCAAAAACAACCCTGCCATTCCTGAAGGTTTCTAAATAGAATCCTGTGAGTAGCCAGGATGAGATAACCTGCCCAGAGAACAGCCTGCGTGTGTCCCAGGACACAAATTCATAGCTAGGGTTTGATGAAGTTCTTCATTTGATTT